TTTATATAATAATATAATATATTACCAACTTTAGAACTAGTCTTAAAAAACGTTTATAAAATGTGATATTACGGACTCGCTGATTCATTTTTAAATATTTAAATGTTTATATACATATATATATAGGGTTACCCACAAAGGATGTAAAGACGACCGAAAACTCTTAGAATGAGATGATCCCAAGGTTAAAGTAAGGTTTCTAATGGCTTCACTCCCGTATGCTGAGTCCATTAGCACCTGATCCAATCAGGGTTCAGTCATGTGATTGGTGCATATTCTGAACCAATAGAAAAGTATGGCGGTATCCTCTATCTTTCTATCATTCTCATTATCCAATTAGAGATAAATCTTTCAATCGGCGCTATCAGTAAAGGGAAACATCTACTTTTACTGAAACTATAGTGAATTATATAATTATTTGGCAAAGAAAGAAACAAGTTTACAGTTGCACGGGAATCGATAGAATAAGGAAGCAGACAGTATAAATTCTCTACAATTGTCTCTGAAGTCTCAATTCTCATCCAGTGTGTATAACCCTGAATATAAAGTTAGATTCAGAGTGCAGGCACCCCACTCTAACAGTCGCATGATCCGAGCCAGTACAACATGTACATTTAATTCCAGTCCGGACTACCGACCCAGCTCGTTTTATGCTACAAATATGTAGCCTGGCAAGATCACATTTGGTATGGTTTTATGTCGATAACAGATTCACACTGAGATGAAAACATTTTATGTAAATCAAGCTTTTTAAGTCTTCATCAAGTAAGCTTGAGCATTACTCTTTTATATCTTAAACTACTAATAATATCAATACATAGATTATTTTCAAACTTGTTGTTAACAAATCACATTAAAATTCAAATGTTGAAATGCAAAAAGACACAAAACAGATGAAATTTCCATTTATTAATATCTTTCTTAATTTCCATTTATTAATATCTTTCTTAATAATGCAAATGCAAGTAATATCGTCTTCATTATATTTTTTTAATGAAGCCTACTGTAGTACTGTAGACATTCTTAATAAACAACTAATAATTTAACCAATGGATTCGATTAAATTTAAAAAACAGTGCAGTGGATAAAAATTAGCCCGAAACTTAAGTGAGTGCGTAAAAACTATTTNGAATTTTTGCGCCACTCTAACAGCTCTACATTACATGCCCCTGTCAATGGTGCATAAAAAAATAATGTTTCTTACAGTAATAACCAGAAAACTGTTGAATAGGAAGACGACTTTTGGACTCAAGTTATGATTTTATGTAGATAATTCAATGAACACGAGGAGCAGCAAAATTGTGTAGAGTAAACAGACTTATTTCACTAAATAAGTGATTTAATAACTTATTGGAAAAGCTTTTTGCTTTGTAAGGTAAAACTATTTGTAATACTATCAAATGCACTTCAGTATTGCTCTAATGTCGTCTTTCTATTCTACAGTTTTCTGGTAATCACTGTTTAAGTTGGGAAATTTTAATTTTATCGTTTCAAAAATGAGGAACAACACTAGAAAAGTTGGGAACCAAACGCCCCCCTCCCCCCTCCAAGACGTTTTAGGGTTAACCAATATTAAATGGTAGATGGCAAATTATAGAATCTTAAGTTGTACTTTAATACTTTCTTAAATTTCAAGCTCTTTACATGAGAATTATTTAGATTGTACATATAAAACGTTGAAATACAGTACGTTATAAAGGGATAAAAGTTAAGCTACAAAACATTAAAAAGTGTCTAAAGTTAGAAATCTAATTCAAGTTTTTCAACAATATTATAAAACACAAAACATATAGATATAATATATATATTTACAAATACAAATATATATTTCTCCATTTTTTAAAGTTTGCATTATTAGGGTCGTTTTTCAGATAATATTTTTTTTAGGAGGAGGTGGATTACCCACAAAAATACGGTACCCTTTAAACCTTAGTCAGATCAATGAATGAAATATTCATGTTTTAATATTTGAAAATTCATCATTTTCAATTGCAGCCGGTTCTCTAACAAAGTGACTTGCGGGTTATATTGCAGATAAAGGTTTAAAGGGTTACAACTTGAAATGACCCTTTTGGTTATCAATAAAAAATTGATTATTGCCGATACATTTTTATCTAATATTTATTTAGGTAGAGCAAGGGTTTTAAAACTTTACCATTTTTTGTCTAAGGAAATTTTTATAATTGCCAATGCAGCTTATATTGAAAGGTATAAATCTTTAAAACAAAAATAAATATTCATTCTGGTTAAAACCGACTAAAGTTTTTTTTTCATTCAAAAGTGTTCACTACTTTCTTTGTTTACACTTCTCCCCAAAAATGCAGTACACTTTAAATGTAAACACACAAATAGTGGTTCATGGTATATATTGTCCACAGATTAAACAGATTGGATACAAGTTCATGCAGTTGTGTTTCCATTTTATGCAACTTAAAGTGTTCTCATTCATAAATAATTTTTAAAATAATTTCGAGAAACTTTTAATTTTTAAAATGGCATGTCCGCTTCTAGACGTTACCATTTGACCCTAAGTCTGATCAATGGCGAATGAAAAATATTTATTTTCTTGCTAAAATTTGGTTTCTTCCAAAATCAAAGTGATTTAATGATTTCGGTAATTTCCTAGAGAACGGTCGACGGTCGTTATGATAAGATGTGAACGCAAAACAGTTTTTATGAATAAAAATTGCGTAACTCTAACCAAACTTAGTAGTCCAGTCTGTGTAAATCTTATATAAAACACTTGGTAGGGGTTTAACTAATGTTTAAAAACTTTTTATCACTTCGCAGTCAACATTCTCTGTAATGTAACTTTAAAGGGTTTAATCAGTTTAAAGGGGGGGTTGTATCCCCCTCATCTAGGAGACTTTGTGCCATGCGCCCCCTCGTCTACAGGTGAGAATGTGCCAAGTCTCCATCAACCCTGATGCCTCTAGACTGAAAATGTATAATTTTTTCACTGAAAGGGACTGTGAACGTAATTTAAAGTGGAGTCAAGGTACTAATGCAAGGAAAGTTTTTTTTTTCAGAAGTTTACGCATCTTTTGTAATGTAGTGTACTGTCTTTTGGCGGAAAAGTAAACAAAAGACGGATGTCACAGCCTGACATGGAATCCATTTTCACAAAAATAATCTATGAAATACTCTGGTCATAGGACACTATTATGAGAATTTTCAAAATTATCAAAATTAAATGCTTTTAGCAACCTCGGATACTAAACAAACACTGATGCATCTATTCTTGTTTACAAAGTCAGCACAGAGATAACTGGTTTCAATATGTACGCAGAGTATACGCGACCGCAATTTACTTTCCTTGCATTTGTACCTTGGTAGAGTGACGTGTCTGATTCACAACAACATTCTTTAAACCGGTTTCTGAGCATGACTGACGTACAGGGATGTCCCACATCGATTAGATCGTCAATGGATCTAAAGTATGAGTTTCGGGACTAATCAGAAAATTTAAGAAGAATGAAAAATTTTGAAAAATTGAAAAAGACTACTATAAAAATGTTTTGAGTATTGTGTGTTTATTTTGGCTTTTAGCTTGGGGATAATCTATTACGATATGGGACACTCTCAGGGGGCGGAAACGTCATGTTTGTGTGTCTGTACCAAAAGAGTGTGTGTCAGTTTACTGTACCAAAGGTTTGTACTGTAGGTTTATACAGTACGTAAGAATCTCGGTATTTGTACAGTCTAGGAGAGTACATTTGTTTATTGTTAATTGTTTACTTAAACATATGTTTAATTTACATGTAATATATTATTTACATATTTAAGTCAACACTATAAAGCCAAATTTTCATGCAAAGAATATAATTTGATTAAAGTTTACAATAAACTACTCATTATTCAAGTTTAATTATAATTGACGACATTGTTCTACAATTTCCTTGACTGTAGTCATGTTGTGTGTCTGTACCAGAAGAGTGTGTGTCAGTTTACTGTACTGGTCTGCAAAGCAGTGCGACTGGCTTTCTCTTGCCGGACCAGCGCCATTTCCTTTCCCTTTATTCCTGTTCCCTGGACACTCTATACGGAGAAATATCTATCCATCAGATAAGAATTTAACATGAGACATCTAGCAGCCAACATATCGTCCCCCAAAGTACGTGAACTACACGACCACTTTCTATGGAGAAAACGGGCTCAGTTCATCTCCCCTATACGACCAGTTGATTTCCCCTTTAGTGTTTTAACGACTCCAACACCAAAGTTAGATATCAGAAGCAAGGATTTAAACATTAATTAGTATTTTATTCAAGATAAAGATAATTATTTATGTTTTTATTCATTAATATATATTACTAACTATTTGCAAGCATCATAACATTACTTTTGATGACAAACATTGGCGGAAATACAAGGTGTCCCAATAAACATGGGAATTGAGAGACAACTTGAATATTGTCTTTGATTTCCGAAAATTGATAAATGACAGAAAGTGCATCAATAAAGATTTAAAGTATTATGTGCCTTCCAAAATGAAGTCCACCTTCTTTGTATCTTTCAAATTGACGGAGATATTAAACATTTGAAGAGTTTTGTTTGCTTTTTATAAACTGGAATTTGTACAAATTTTCCAATAAAATGGTAGACCACATTTTAGAAATCCCGAGACTAGTAGTTTTCGGTGTTAAATGTTTTACCTGTGATATTAAAAAATAATGTTTACGAAATAATCCCGCTTGGAACAAATACAAAATCGTCAATTAATTCCCATGTTTATTTTACTTGATATGCTATTTGAGGGAGATAAACTGATGCACGACACCTGGAGACTCAAGGTTACAGTGTACATTGTACATTGTACGTACATTCCATGTTATTGTACAGTGTACACTTGTGGTTTCCAAACAGTAAAATTTCTGCTATAAAAGTAAGAATATTTACGTAATCCTTGATCAAACAAAGCTAATTAAAGGGTGCTGTTGTGAATCGGCTATGTCAGTCTATTAATGGAGGGTCACTAGAAATTACTTCTGGTTACTCTGTACTGTTGGAAAAGGTTTCGAAAAGGCCCACTTAAATAATGAATAGTCAATAATTTATCCAGCTGAAAGGCTAACGAAATTTCACTTATTTATTTTGTTAATTAAAGGAATTGATTACTCAATCACCCTCAACTCTAATCTTCTAACGTTTTGTAATCGTAAATTGATTCATAGAGTGGTCCAAGTCATCAGGGTACCTTTAAAACCTTTACCTGATCAAATTCTAATTATCTATTGCACAATTTTGCTGCAGGAAAATTATGGCAAGAATAACAGAATGGAACACTTTTTAAGCTGAAAAAAATACGAAATCTTTCACATTATGATTATTGATCAGATAAAGGCTTCAAGGATATACCGTTGATCCTCATTAAATGCACACTTTAAATTCCCAGAACAGTCCCTTTAAACATAGATGTACCTAGAGTGGTTCAATAACATCTTCTCCCGCATTGAGGACAACTATTGTCTCCATATGCCATACTAGACCCCATCTGGATCAGATTACAGGTCAAACACTCATCCTCATCTCCTAGAGAAACAAGAAATTAATAAAAAATTCTGATATCTTTTACTCCAAAGTCTCAAATTAGAGGGTTTTCGATATTTAAAAAAATTGTTTGAATTAAGGCAAAAACATCATTTTTTGATACAAATTCTTATAAGCAAATATTCTTTAAACCCCAGGTTTTTTGCTTCTAATTTGTTCAACTTTAAAATTTTTTTGTAAATGTATCCATGCTGCATGGGACCGAACAAAGTGTAAATATTGGAAAATGCAAAAGTCAAGGCGTGAAAAAATCTTCAAAGTTTACCCAGTCTTAAAAACTGATGCATACTTTTCATTGCAGTCTAGACCAAAGTGTGACATTATCAACATTGCAACTTAACAAATGTTGTATTTTACAATAAACCATGTTATTTTAATTTTACTGATTTGCTGTATACTACTAATGTGAAGTCTAATAAAATATTTATACTACAATGTACTCAGAGAATTGGTTTTTAACAGAAAACAACCTTTAAAAAGTTAAATGTCAAGTTTTAATATTAGATGAACATCACTTTTATAGTCGCAAGATTATACGAGTTTACGAGTTATAGCTTAAAATGCTAGATTTCAAAGTAAAATGAAACGCATGGTATTTTATCCCAAAAGTAGGAAGATATTAGAATCACCCCAACAGGTTGTATTGTAGCGTTTTCGATTATTTGAAACTGGAAATAAGTTTGACAAAAATGAGCTTTAAAAAACCTCTATGTATTTTAAACTTCACCTTTGCAATATTTACTTTATAGTTTATATGCATTTCAACAGGAATCGTCAAATTCTACGTAAACAAATTCCTACTTTGTTCCACAACTGGGCCCGTAAGTGCTTGTGTCTGATAAGCAAAGGATTGTTGTAGAGCCGATACCAGAGCAGGGTTCGCGGCTATACCAGCCATACCAGCTTTCCTGTAAAATGAGAAAGGTCAGGATTACCGGCTAAACCAGACATACCAGGTTTCCTGCATAATATGGGAGGTCAGGATTACCGGCTATACCAGACATACCTGTTTTCCTGTACAATATGGGAGGCCAGGGTTACCGGCTATACAAGACATACCAGATTTCCTGTATAATATGGGAGGTCAGGGTTACCGGCTATACCAGACATAACAGCTTTCTTATATGATAAGGGAGGGTTAGCGGCTATACCAGCCATACCAGCTTTCCTGTATAATAAAGGAGGTAAGGTTTTCCGGCCATACCAGACATACTAGCTTTCCTTCATAATAAGGGAGGGTTCGTGGCTATACCAGACATACCAGCTTTCCGGCGAAATATGGGAGATTGGGTTTCCGGTAATACCAGGCATACCAGCTTTCCTTTATAATAAGGGAGGTCAGGGTTAGCGGCTTTACCAGACATACCAGCTTTCCTGTATAATATGGGAGGTCAGGGTTACCGGCTATACCAGACATACCAGCTTTCTTGTATAATATGGGAGGTCAGGGTTACCGGCTATATACCAGACATACCAGCTTTCCTTTGTAATAAGGGAGGTTAGGGTTATACCAAACATACCAGACATACCAGCTTTCCTGTATAATAAGGGAGGGTTAGTGGCTATACCAGACATACCAGCTTTCCTGTATAATAAGAGTGGTCAGAGTTAGCAGCTGTCAGCTATAATTTAAAAATTATCAAATATAAATTGTTTTCACCATATTTGAATGGAGCATATGTACTAATGTAGTTTAGGTTATTATCGACTGATTTTGAACTAAAGAGTAATACGAGTATTGATCTGAAAGTTTCCCCATCTTGAGAAACCCAAACCGACAACAAAGGATAAGTAATGCACCCGGCCAGAACTTAAGGTCTGGTACAACCCGGCCATCCCTAACAGGATGAAGTACTACCTGGAGGCGAGGAAGGATCTAAGTCCCTAAGCGTAGAAAATAAATGCATTTTAAGTTTTTAAGCTTTTGAACTTTGATCATTACTTTTAATCGGACATTGTATGTTAAGAAACATTTAATGTGTATCCCCCTTTCATATACAGAATATTAATACAAAAGGAAGCCATTGAAACTTTTCCACGATTAAATGAAAAGATAGAATTTCACAAGCTTTATTCGATATTTCTTGTTTTATACAGTTTGAGCTTCAGCCAGGATTAAGCATATACAAATCGTACAGAACTTAAATATAAAGATTTACATTCCGACTGAATTTAAGAATTAATTGGAAAGGTGGATGAAAATGAAAAATTATTAAATTCCAATAATAATAGGAGCAAACTTGAGTTTCTCAGGCTACTCTGGGATAGATCGTTGTTTTCAGATTGGTTGCGTATTTGTTGAATATGATCTGTTTAATACTACGAATCTTATACAAAATCTTATATAAAATAATTTCAATAAAAGAATTTTTGGAATAAAGTATCAAATTGTCTAATCCCTATATCTTTGCAACTTGAGGGTGTACACCTTTGATATTTCAAACTTGTTTGATGTAACAGAATTCTTTGTTTGAAATATCTAAGGTCTACGACATTGGGTTGCACAGATAAAGGATTAAGAAAATCAGAATTTATGGTAAAGACTTAATTCCTTTTGAGGGAAAAACTTGCAAGATATAATCTAATTTTTCGTTACTAGAGATCGCTGAACGATACTGCCGTTTCAAATCCTTTACAGGAATTGAGTCTTTGTTACAAACTCTGATTCTTAATTCCTATATCTTTGCAACCCCATGTCAGACCTTAGATATTTCAAACTCGGAATTTTGTTAGATTAAATAATCCAGGTTTAAAATACAAAAGTTTTACACCTTCAGGTTGTAAAGATATAAGGTTTAAAACATTAGAGTTTGCGGCAAAGACTCAACATATCATTATGGCCAGATGTCCAGAGAATAAACGATATGCAGATAAATTGATAGTTTACTAATTTAGAAGAAAAACATCATGGTGGATGATATTTTAAAGACCGCTATGTATTTAAATTTTTAAATAAAATGCTATAGAGGATGCGAGGTCGGTCTCTAATAAAACTCAGCAGGGTAACTTCCAGTATATATATTTCCTATAACTTTTAGCGAAACTTCAATCAGAACAGAATGAGAATAACATATAACACGAGTTGGTTCAAAAAGTACTATGCCCCATATCTGTTTAATCCGACTCCGGGAACTCTTGTGGAACTTGCTTAATGAGGCCAAGCATCGTCTTCCAAAATGCTTTAAATTTTTCTGATTCCTTGATAATATGATAATATGGTTTCTTATCATCAATCATCATGCATACATAAACAAACTGGAATTATTTCAGTCTTAAGGCTTGCTGGTTTTTTTACCCAAAGTATATATTTTTGTTTGTAATTGTGACGCCTTTAAAGGGAGTGTTTCCGAAAAATGAAAGCGAAAAATAATCGCCTTTGATCGCTTCTATAATCTTACTTCTATCTGTTGTGTCTATTAGGAGAAAATTGTTAAAACAACTTATACTGAAGAACGTAGCGTCCATATTAATTCAGAAAGTTGCAATATATGACTCGTATGGTAAAATAATCAATTTAATTTCAAACAAATCATTCAGATATTACAACCTAGTCATCAATTATTTTTCGAAACATTCAAATATAGTTAATATTTCATGATATTTGTTTCATAGACAATGCACTTAAAACAAATTGTTGTCCGCTAGGTGTCTCTGCTGCGTGTAATCATTCAAAGCTTCAAGAGCAGAGACATCTGGCGGCAACAGATAGAAGTAAGAATACTAGCGAGCGCCGTAACCTTATACTCTTTCATTTTTCGTGAACACTCTCTTTAACCATAATTGAGAATAAAAAGTTTCTCTATAGTGTAATTTCGATTCTATATTCNAGAAAGATTGAGACATACTAATTTTTCTTGTTGAAAAGGATTATATTTAGAGTTTGGTTTGTCTTTTAAATTGATGCCCCTGAAGCAGTAAAGGACACTATATCAGATCTGAAATCATTACTTGGATCTTCTTCATGCATGATACAGAGGTTTATTGGGTACCGTTGTGAATCGGCCTTTTCTCTCTTTTTTTAAAGAGGGTAATTTGTTCGACAGTCCTTTTAATGCTTTTTTAACCTAAACGATTCTTGCAGAAAATTTGATTAAGGTAAAGAATTATTAGGCGTTAAATGATTATTAGCCTCTCTTCATATGTAGTTTTTAAAGGGTCTGCACATAAAAAAACAGAACAACTGAAGATTTCAAATAATTATTTATTTATATCACAATTATTCTCTAAAACTTTGCTATTATTACACTTAATAACTTGACTTTGCAGCAGAACTTATAATTAAGCCGGAACGATTTTTAACCAACGAATGATTTTGTTTCAATCGGGCTCAAATATCTTTTGTCAGAGTTAAATTTTTCATGAAAAAAACAGACAGAACATTTATTTTTGATATAATTAGAACTTGATAGATTACTCGCCGAAAATAGTAAAATATCTAAATAACGTCTGATAACTCTAATTAAACCTTGTAATTATAAAGTTGATATGAAAGAGTTTATTAAGTTGCATAATATTCTTAACTTAACTTAATGTAAATCCTTTCAATGCAGCAAAAAGATCAGCTTTGCATAATTAGATTAATAATTTTAAAAGGACTTTCGACATAAGTTTAAGCAACACTCCTCAGTCCAGAGTGGCATACCCAATTCACATCGATATCCTTTAAAACCTTTGTCCGAACACAAACGGTGAAGATATCCTTGTTTTTCTTTAAAGGGAGTGACCGGCTATGTAAGGTAGTTAAACTGAATATGCAGTGTCAGGGACAAATTCATTAGAATTCATTTGAGATATATAAAACTTTTCCACGACTCATAATTACTGAGTGCATAGTCTACGTTCAAAATCATGAATTGGGTGGGTACGCTTTCAGAATCGTTTTTTTTAAATTATTAAATAACGACGACGAAAAATAAAGTAAAAATTATACAGTAAACTAATTAGATGGTTAGAGACATATTTTTCAAAATAAATTTGTCAATAAATCAATGCGAGAATAAATTATTTCGTTTTCATCATTATATTGAATTTCTTATTTTCTATCAATTTATTCGCAGATTTCTTCAAATTCTTCAAATGTCGTCTTTTCAATAATACTTCCAGAAAGTCTGCAGAAAATCTTTGTGAATAATGAGAAACTAGAATAATGATAAAATAGAAACTAATAATTGAACAAGATTACTTATTTTCGATGATAAGATTAATTTTTATTTTCTCAACCTGTTCTTAAACAACTTATTAGTTTACAGTAGAATTTTGTATACATTTTTTGTCGTCGTTATTTAATAATTTAAAAAAAAAATTCTGAAAACGTATCCACCCAAAAGTACGATTTTTAACGTCGACTTTGTGCTCAAACTCAGGACTTACAGATCTTTAAAAAGTTTTATACATCTTAAGTGAATCCTAAAGAATTTGTCCACAACACTGCATACTCAGTTCAACTACCTTACATAGCCGGTCTGTCCCTTTAAAGGTATTAACATTTTGTCCTTTGTCCGTTATCGTATCCTTTAAAACCTCTATTTCTGAGTAGCAATGATTAATGACCAGAAAATGATATTAAAAAACTGAGTTTTTGTCACAAAATTAAATTTTCTAAATTATCCCTTTATCTTTGCAACATGATGGTGTAGGATTTTGATATTTCAAACTGAGATTGTTCACTTTTTTCAGAATACACTTTTACTTTGTACAATTAGTGGAACAACGAAGCACAGCAAAATCCGGTTCTTTGAAGTATAGTGTACCAACTTTACTTCAACTAAACCAGGTCTACACTGTACAGTATACAAACAGTACAGTACACCATATGAGCCATCCCCTTCTGATAAATGTGGAAACCATTTCTTCCCTTTCAACGTTTGTCCGTAGAGCCAAAATGTCCAAAGCAAATCGCACAAT